GCAAGCGAGTGAATTCATGGACGACAAAGGCGGCGACAATGGCTATGGGGCTTGGGGGAGGGTTCCCGTATGGGACGGCTCCCCTTTGACCTGGAGGTCCTTCAAACGAGAGATGCAGTGGTGGCTCTCCAGCTTGGATGCTGAGTCAACCAAGAAGTACAACTTAGCAGCTCGATGGCTTCTTCGCCAAAGCGGCACCGTGCGCCAACGTGGCGAGGAATTCAGTCCTGATGAATTGCAGTACCAGAAGGGCGAGTCCTACATCGATCCCGAGACGGGCGAAGCGGTGGAGATCACGGCCGAGGACCCCTTTGCCGGCATCCACCGCTTGATGGACGCGCTTGAGCAGATGAATGGCCAGTCCACCCTCGACAAGAGAGGCGAATTGCGAGCGCAATTCTACTTGCACATGTGCCGCAAAGCTGGCGAGCGTGTCGCCGACTACTCCTCGCGCTTCCGAACAAGCATTGCTGACTTGCGGGCTGAGGGGGTTAAGCTTCCGGATGCTGAGCTTGGCTGGTTCTATAAGGAGAAGCTTGGGCTGGATCCCCTCCGAAAGCAGTTGCTGGAGACCGCTTTGGGCGGATCTGAGGCCTATGCCACCATCGAGTCGGAGGCTCTGCGTCTTTTCCGTGACCTTCATTCGCAGGACCCGCTGTTCAGGAGACTTGACCGGCCCACGAATAAGTTAACCATCCGGAGGATGTTCACTGCGCCTTCGTCCTCTTCGGCTCCCTCCTCCTCCTCGACGGCCAGCGGTGCCCCTTCGACCCGACGATCGTCGATTTCCTCTATGGCGTCTTCGGCGGGACAGCTTGCCAGGCGGCAGCAGACTCGTCAAGTGCACGTTTCCGAGGCGGCCGTCGAGGACGTGGTTGACGACTCCTTCGAGGCCCTTGCCGAGGACCCCGTTGTCGACGACGCCGAGCTCGACGGCGAGGACCGGACCCTCGAGGAGGTGCTGCAGACCGAGGTGGAGCAGCTCGCCGAGGAGATCGCCGAGGCTGAAGCTGAGGGCGTTACCCTTGTCATGGAGAATGGAATCGAGGCGAGTGCTGAAGCTTTGGTGTCGATGAGGGAAGCCCGCGTGAAGCTGGCCGAGGTCAGGAAAGACCGTGGCTTCAAGGGGCCGGCTTCCTTTGGGGTTCTGGGGCTGCCAAGGGCCGTGGCCGTGGATCGGCCAGCATCCAGGCCAAGAAGAAGGATGGCAAGCATGTGTGCTTTGACTGCGGCTTGCCGGGACACTGGGCTGGCGACGATGGCTGCACCAAGCCTGGGCAAGGGCTCGGGCGGGCCAAAGGCAAGGGCGCGCCGGCCAGACAAGGGCGCGCCGGGGAGGCCGTTTCGGAGCACGAGGTGGTCCAGACTGAGGCCGGCGATGTTGTGCCGAGGGACGTGCTGATGATTAGCGCCGAGCCGGGCCGAGCTTTGCAGCAGGCTTTTGAGATGTCGGTTGCCAGGGCCGAGGTGAATGTTGCTGCTGCCCCTGGCCCGCTTGCTGCCGATAAGGCTGTGGTTGGAGCTCTGGACAGCGCGTGCAATCGCACCTGCGCCGGCGAAGCCTGGATTGAGGAGTACATTTCGTTGCTTCGGGATGCCCCGGCCGAGGTGCAGGAGCTGATTCAGAAGACGCCCGAGACCGAAAGGTTCAAGTTCGGGAACGGCGGCATCCTACCCTCTTGTGTGCGCTATCGCCTGCCCATGATGGTTGCTGATGAAATGGTCCTCGTGTGGGTGTCCTCCGTTCCTGTGGCCACGCTGGGCCTTTTGCTCGGCAGAGATTTCCTCGACGCGGTTGCCGGCGTCCTTGACTTTGCTGAACGGACTCTTCTCTGCCGTGCCTTTAATTCAAAGAGGGCTGCCGTGAAGCAGTTGTCGGCTGGACATTTGGCTTTGCCTTTGATCCCGGAGGTCTGGCCTGACCTTTGCAGCCCGCGCTGGCGAAAACTCGGGCCGGACAATGTGATAGAGACGCGTTTGGATTGCAAGGCCTGGGCCCGGCAGTTGATGAAGACCCCCTCCCGAGCAGCTGCGTCGAGTGTTTCAGGAGGTGATTCGCACAGCCACAACATGACTGAAGCCAGCCTTGCCTTGGGCCGTCGCGTGTTTGAGTACAACTCGGTGCTTCTGACCTTGGCCCAAAAGATGTGTGTGGAAACGCCGGTTGTGAAAGCCCCTGCTGCCTCCTCTGTGACGGTTCGTTCCAAGGATGGCGGCGGCCGGCGCGGCACTTCGACCCTCTTCCGCTCCTGGTTTGGGAGCCCTCGGCGGCTTCGGCGACGACACGGTGCTCGGGCGCTCCTTTCCCACATGGCGCAGGATGGTGATCCGAAGCCTGGCCCGGTGGACGTGGGCAAAAGAAGGCCTTCGTCTTGCCTTGGTCAAGCGGCCCGACTTGCGCTTCTTGCC